TTTACAATGAGCATATATTAATGTTGTAATTATACATGTGGGCGTGTGTGTACTTGTGTATAGTTTTGTTTTCTTTTTCTTTTTTTCCTTAGACGGAGGAGTCTTGTTCTGTTGGCCAGGCTGGAGTGCAGTGGTGAGATCTCAGCTCACTGCAGCCTCTGCCTCCTGGGTTCAAGTGATTCTCCTGCCTCAGCCTCCTGAGCAGCTGGGACTACAGGCAATGGCCACCACGCCTGGCTAATTTTTGTATTTTGAGTAGAGATGGGGTTTCATAATGTTGGCCAGGATGGCCTCAATCGCCTGACCTAGTGATCCATCGGCCTTAGCCTCCCAAAGTGCTGCAATTACAGGCATGAGCCACTGCACCTGGCCTTGTTTGTTTTCTAAACATAAAAGGTCAGAAATAAACCCAAGTAACAAGCATATATCAATTTTATCTGTGCGTGTATGTGTGTACGTGTGTATGTTTTGTTTGTTTTCTTTTTTCTTTTTTTTTTAAAGACGGGGTTTCACAATGTTGGTCAGGCGGGTCTTGAACTCCCGACCTCAGGTGATCCGCCCGCCTTGGCCTTCAAAGTGCTTGGATTACAGGCATGAGCCACCACACCTGGCCATGTTTTCTTTCTTTCTTTCTTTCTTTTTTTTTTTTTTTTGAGACGGAGTTTTGCTCTTGTTACCCAGGCTGGAGTGCAATGGCGCGATCTCGGCTCACCGCAACCTCCGCCTCCCGGGTTCAGGCAATTCTCCTGCCTCAGCCTCCTGAGTAGCTGGGATTACAGGCACGCGCCACCATGCCCAGCTAATTTTTTGTAGTTTTAGTGGAGACGGGGTTTCACCACGTTGAACAGGATGGTCTCGATCACTTGACCTCGTGATCCACCCACCTCGGCCTCCCAAAGTGCTGGGATTACAGGCATGAGCCACCGCGCCCGGCCTTCTTTCTTTCTTTTTTTGAGACGGAGTCTCACTCTATGGCCCAGGCTGGAGTGCAGTGGCACAATCTCGCCTTACTGCAACCTCCACCTGCTGGTTCGAGCGATTCTCCTGCCTCAGCCTCCCGAGTAGCTGGGACTACAGGCGTGCGCCACCACACCCAGCTAATTTTTGTATTTTTAGTAGAGACATGGTTTCACCATGTTGGCCAGGATGGTCTCGATCTGCTGACCTTGTGATCCGCCCACCTTGGCCTCCCAAGGTGGGATTACAGGCATGAGCCACCGTGCCCAGCCGGTTTTGTTTATTTTCTAAATATATAAAGTCAAAAATAAACCCAGGTAACCCCGCTGTGTGTGTGTGTGTATGTGTGTGTGTACGTGTGTATGGTTTTGTTTTCTAAATATATAAAGTCAGAAATAAACCCAGGTGACCCAGCTCTGTGTGTGTGTGTGTGTGTGTGTGTGTGTGTGTACATGTGTATGGTTTTGTTTGTATTCTAAATATATAGTCAGAAATAAACCCAGGTAACCCAGCTCTGTGTGTGCGCGTGTGTGTGTGCGTGTACGTGTGTATGGTTTTGTTTGTTTTCTAAATATAAAAAGACAGAAATAAACCTAGGTAACCCAGCCGCCTGGGCCAGGTGGTATCCGCCGGGTCCCATTCCAGCCTGAACTCCGGCCACCGCGATCCGGAAGCCCAGCGTCCAGCCGGGTTGCAGGAAAAGCCCGGAGCTGACTACAACCGCCCGATCCTCGTAGCTGAGCTCGGGAGCCTGCGCAGTAGGCGTCTGAGGCGCATGCTCTGTAGCGGTCTCCGCAGCCAGGATTGGCGCCCGTGCAGGGGCCTTCGAGCCCCGCCTGTAAAGCCCTCCTGTACAGCCCCACCCGGGTGCGCGGGCATGGCGGCCAGCCTGTGGATGGGCGACGTGAGTGAGGGAAGCCGTCTGTGGTCTGAGGACGAGGAGGCATCTCTTTGTGGCGTGGGAGGAAGGGTCTGAGGGGGAGGAGACGTGGGATCCCAAAAACCGGAGGGGTGAGGCGGGGGTTCTTTTTGGTGACACAGAAGCGGGTTCCAGCATCTAAGTAAAGAGGCTGAGTCAGTGGACCTAGGGGTCTTGGAGCCCCACCTGTGTTCGTGGGAAGGAAAGATGGTGCTTTGGGGACATACAATGGGAGGAATCCAAGAACTTTGGCGCGCTGTTCTAGGACCGGAGGGTGGTGGTTTCTAGGTCCAAGGGGAGGCTCCCTAAAGCGGGGCAGGCTTGAAGCGAAGGAGTTGGGGGTTCAGGCCGCTCCGCAGAGGCGAATCTACCCCCTCGCGCCCCCAGCGGCGCGTAGCCAGCCCAGGGCTGATGGGGAGGGGCTCTGGAACCCGGAGTGGGAAGCCTGGCCGCCGGCCTGAGCCGCTGTGCTCTTGTTTTTACGCAGCTGGAACCCTACATGGATGAGAACTTCATCTCCAGAGCCTTTGCCACCATGGGGGAGACTGTAATGAGCGTCAAAATTATCCGAAACCGCCTCACCGGGTAAGTCTTATCTCAGTTCTCTCTTAATACAGCTTGCTGCAGCGGTCATTTACAAGAATGTAATATCGGAGTCATAGCTTCTCACTACCCTTAGTAATAGTCATTGTAAAATTGTAGCACTTAACACTTTGAGGTCCTAAAGAGTGGAGGTATAGCTTGTACCTTAAGGGCAGGACTCACCTGGCGTGGTGGCTCCTGCCTGTAATCCCAGCACTCTGGGAGGCCGAGGTGGGCCGATCACTGGAGGTCAGGGGTTCGAGACCAGTCTGGCCAACATGGTGAAACCCGTCTCTACTGAAAATACAAAAATTAGCCGAGTGTGGTGGCGAGCACCTGTAATCCCAGCTAGTCGGGAGGCTGAGGCAGGAGAATGGCTTGAACCCTGGAGGCGGAGGTTGCAGTGAGCCAGATGGCGCCATTGACTGTACTCCAGCCTGGGTGACAAGAGCAAAACTCCATCTCAAAAAAAAAAAGAGCGGAACTCAAGGCAGACTGGGTTTGAAAGCTATTTCTGCTGTATGACCTTGGATAAGTTACTTGACTGTTCTGTCTCATTTACTTTGAGTATAAAAATGGAAATAATAATAGCACCTACTTCCTAGAGTCATGGTGAGAATTAAATGAGTGAATTCACATTCATCATCAGGACAGTGTCTGGCATATAGCATATGCTCAGTAAGTATAGTCAGATTACGATTTGCTGGGTAATAAGCATTTTACATCCGTTATCTTCTTAAAAACCTCTGAGGTAAGTACTATTATGAAGAAGCTTAATAACTTTAAGAATTATAATGAATGACAAGTCAGAACTTGAATTCAAGTCTATCCTGAAAGCTCATGAGGGTCCTCTTTTTTTTTTCTTTTTTTTAAAATTCTTTTTATTTATTTATTTATTTATTTATTTATTTATTTATTTTTTGAGGCAGAGTTTCACTCATGTTACCCAGGCTGGAGTGCAATGGTGCGATCTCGGCTCACCGCAACCTCCGCCTCCTGGGTTCAGGCAATTCTCCTGCCTCAGCCTCCTGAGTAGCTGGGATTACAGGCACGTGCCACCATGCCCAGCTGATTTTTTGTATTTTTAGTAGAGACGGGGTTTCACCATATTAACCAGGATGGTCTCGATCTCTTGACCTCGTGATCCACCCACCTCGGCCTCCCAAAGTGCTGGGATTACAGGCTTGAGCCACCGTGCCCGGCCTTCTTTTTTTTAAAATTCTAAAGTCCAAAACAAGAGGGTCCTTAACTCTTATGCCATTCATTTAAAAAATTGGGCCAGGGGAAGTGGCTCACATCTGTAATCCCAGCACTTTGGGAGGCCAAGGTGGGTGGATCACTTGAGGTCAGGAGTTTGAGACCAGCCTGGCCAGCATGGTGAAACTCCATCTCTACTAAATATACAAAAAATTAGCCAGGCACAGTGGCATATGCCTGTGATCCCAGCTACTCAGGAGGCTGAGGCAGGAGAATCCTTTGAACTCAGAAAGTGGACATTGCAGTGAGCCAAGATTGCACCATTGCACTCCAGCCTGGGTGACAGGGCAAGATCCTGCCTCAAAAAAACAAAAAATAATCAAATGGTTTAAAAATAGAGATGAGACATTTGAAATATATTTTGTGTATTCAGAACCCCATTACCTAGAAAAACATTTTTCTGCTGGGTGCGGTGGCTCATGCCTGTAATCCCAGCACTTTGGGAGGCCAAGGTGGGTAGATCACCTGAGGCTGGGAGTTCGAGACCAGCCTGACCAACATGGAGAAACCCCATCTCTAAAAAAAATTACAAAATTAGGCCAGGTACAATGGCTCACACCTGTAATCCCAGCACTTTGGGAGGCCAAGGCGTGAGGATCATGAGGTCAGAAGATCAAGACCATCCTGGCTAACACAGTGAAACCCCATCTTTACTAAAACTACAAAAAATTAGCCAGGCGTGGTGGCATGCACCTGTAATCGCAGCTACTCAGAGGCTGAGGCAGGACAATCCCTTGAACCCAGGAGGTGGAGTTTGCAGTGAGCCAAGATCGCACCACTACACTCCAGTCTGGGCAACAGAGTGAAATTTAGTCTCAAAACAAAACAAAATTAGCCTGGCATGGTGGTGTTATGCCTGTAATCCCAGCTACTCAGGAAGCTGAGGCAGGAGAATCGCTTGAACCCAGGAGGTGGAGGTTGCGATGAGCTGAGATCACGCCATTGCATTTCAGCCTGGGCAACATGAGCAAAACTCCATCTCAAAAAAAAAAAAAAAAAGATTTTTCTAACTGGTAGATCATGCCCACCCAAATAGTTATGTTCTTACTCTTTTTTTTTTTTTTTTTTTTTTTTGAGACAGAGTTTCGCTCTTGTTACCCAGGCTGGAGTGCAATGGCTCGATCTCCGCTCACCGCAACCTCCGCCTCCTGGGTTCAGGCAATTCTCCTGCCTCAGCCTCCTGAGTAGCTGGGATTACAGGCACACGCCACCATGCCCAGCTGAATTTTTGTATTTTTAGTAGAGACGGGGTTTCACCATGTTGACCAGGATGGTCTCGATCTCTTGACCTCGTGATCCACCCACCTCGGCCTCCCAACGTGCTGGGATTACAGGCGTGAGCCACCGCGCCCGGCCTATGTTCTTACTCTTATAAGCAAAAAACCCCAGATAATCAGCTACTGTTATGAAAATTCATTCTCTAATACTTTTTAAAACAGGCATATGCTGAGTGCAGTGGCTCACACCTATAATCCTAACACTGGGAGGCTGAGGAAGGCTGATCACATGAGGTCAGGAATTCGAGACCAGTCTGGACAACATGGTGGAACCCCTTTCTACTAAACAAATACAAAAATTAGCCAGGTGTGGTGACATACCTGTAGTTCCAGCTACTTGGGAGGCTGAGGCTAGGGAATCGCCTGAACCTGAGAGGCAGAGATTGTGGTGAGCCAAGATTGCGCCACTGCACTCCAGCCTGGGTAACAGAGGGAGACTTGGTTGCAAAAATAAATAAAACATTAGCGGGGGAGTGGGGGGGTGGTGGATGGGCAAAAAAGAAAGAAAAAAGAAAACATTAACTAAAACGCTAGCATAGATTCTCACATTTTTGTCTTTTTTTTTTTTTCCCCTCTGAGGTGGAGTCTGGCTTTGTCACCCAGGGTGGAGTACAGAGGCATGATCTTGGCTCACCACAATCCCTGCCTCCTGGGTTCAAGCGATTCTCATGTCTCAGCCTCCCGAGTAGGTGGGATTGCAGGCGCCCACCACCATGCCCGGCTAATTTTTTTTTTTTTGAGACAGCGTTTTGCTCCCATTGCCCAGGCTGGAGTGCAATAGCCTGATCTTGGCTCACCGCCACCTCCGTCTCCTGGGTTAGAGCAATTCTCCTGCCTCAGCCTCCCAAGTAGCTGGGATTACAGCCATGCGTCACCACGCCTGGGTAATTTTTTTTTTTTTTAAGATGGAATCTCGCTCTGTAGCCCAGGCTGGAGTGCAGTGGCGAGATCTCGGCTCACTGCAACCTCCGCCTCCTGGGTCCTGGTTCAAGCAATTATCCTACCTCAGCCTCCCAAGTAGCTGGGATTACAGGCACGAGCTACCATGCCCAGGTAATTTTTGTATTTTTAGTAGAAACAGTGTTTCACCATGTTGGCCAGTCTGGTCTTGAACTCCTGACCTCGTGATCCGCCTGCCTCGGCCTCCCAAAGTGCTGGGATTACAGGTGTGAGCCACCGCGCCTGGCCTAATTTTGTATTTTTAGTAGAGATGGGATTTCTCCATGTTGGTCAAGCTGGTCTTGAATTCCCGGCCTCAGGTAATCCACCTGCCTTGGCCTCCCAAAGTGTTGGGATTATAGGCATTAGCCACCACACTGGCAATTTTTTTTTTTTTTTATTAGTTTGAGATGGAGTCTTGCTGTGTTGCCCAGGCTGATGTGCAATGGTGTGATCTTGGCTCACTGCAACCGCTGCCTCCCCGGTTCAAGCAATTCTCCTTCCTCATACTCCTGAGTAGCTTGGCTTACAGGTGTGCGCCACCATGCCCAGCTACTTTTTGTATTTTTAGTAGAGACGGGTTTCACCATGTTGATCAGATTGGTCTCCAACTCCTGACCTCGTGATCCAGCTGCCTTGACCTCCCAAAGTGCTGGGATTACAGGCGTGAGCCACCAAGTCTGGCCGATAATTTTTTCTATTTTTAGTAGAGATGAGTTTTCATCATGTTGGCCAGGCTAGTCTCAAACTCCTAACGTCAGTTGATCTGCCCACCTCGGCCTCCCAAAGTACTGGGATTACAGGCATGAGCCTGTAATCTTTATTTAAATAAGATTTTCTCGTTTCTTACATGTTTCTTCCTTTTTCTTTTTTTTTTTGAGACGGATTTCTGTTCTTGTCACCCAGTCTGGAGTGCAATGGCATGATCTTGGATAACTGCAACCTCTGTCTCCAGGGTTCAAGTGATTTTCCTGCCTCCGCCTCCTGAGTAGCTGGGATTACAGGCATGCACCATGACAGCCAGCTAATTTTGTATTTTTAGTAGAGACTGGGTTTCTCCATGTTGGTCAGGCTGGTCTTGAACTCCCAACCTCAGATGATCCACCTGCCTCGGCCTTCCAAAGTGCTGGGATTACAGGTGTGAGCCACTATGCCTGGCCTTTTTTTTTGAAATGGAGCTTCACTCTTGCCAGGCTGGAGTGCAATGGCACAATCTCGGCTCACTGCAACTTCTGCCTTCCTGGTTCAAGTGATTCTCCTGCCTCAGCCTCCCAAGTAGCTGGGATTACCGGTGGCTGCCACTGCAAATGGCTAATTTTATATTTTTAGTAGAGATGGGGTTTCACCATGTTGCCCAGGCTGGTCTCAAACTCCTGACCTCAGGTGATCCATCCACCTTGGCCTCCCAATGTGCTGGGATTACAGGTATGAGCCACTGCACCTGGCCTCTTACCCATGGTTTCAAAACTCTAGCTGTTACTTAATGGTGTTACCTTCAGGCATACTTATATCCTCATTTGACAAAGGCTTTGAAGTGACTTACAGGAATATTGTTTTTTTTTCTTTTTTTTTTTGCTGCATGCACTTAGGGCATAAGGAATATTGTAAAATAAATAAAAGGGGTCACGTGCAGTGGCTCACGCCTATAATTCCAGCACTTTGGAAGGCCAAGGCAGAAGGATGGCTTGAGTCCAGATGGTTGAAGCTGCAGCGAGCCATGATCATGCCCCTAGGTTTGAAACCTTTTTTTCCTTGTAAAATTTACATGCTGTGAAATGCACAAATCCTTCTAGAGGCTGACTTATTTCCACCACAGATTAATTTTG